ATAAACTGTAGTGTAAAATTGTACATGTACAGTACTTCACCCCACGGGGAGATCACCAAAAAATTATCCTGGATGTTCGTTTTTTTTTTTGGGAGAGCAAGTTGTAATTTTATTTCGATGTGGTGGGTTATTCTTTTTTGTGGTTTTTTTTTTATACAGGTCATGAGAATACTGAATGGGAATCCTGTTTTATTTTATTTTCATCCCATGTGAAGGAAGTTAGGTGCCATGCAACAACAAAAATATTTTTTTTACCATGAATATAATTTTCAGAAAGGGAATGTTTGAAATTATCCTGAGTTTCTTGGGTACATGGGTTTGAGATTCCCTGGAATAAGTCGAATTTCGTGGGAAAAAAAACTTAGTTTATTTGATTTTGGCTCACTATTCAAGTTTTCATCCAGGAAAACGAGTTTTTTGTGGCACTGAATCTGAGTTTTCCTTGGGAAAACAATGTAGGGAAAATTGTGGTACTGTACTTTGTGAGGGTGGCACTAAATTAGGGTGGACTGTACTGTATTTCTCTCGTTTGTTTGTTTTATTTTCTGTAGTGCTCGGCGAAACTGAAGGAATACACGGAAGCGGAGGAGACCTTCAAGTTGGCACTGGCTATAAACCCGCGGAACCCGTTGTGCAAGTACCATTTGGCCACCACACTGGTGTCCAAGGGTTCACTGGACGAAGCAGCCAACCTTCTGGTCCAGCTGACCGAGGAAACCCCGCGAGAGGCTCAAGTGTTCTTCCTTCTCGGCAAGGTAAAAGGGGTTGGGATTGTTGACCAAGATACCTTTGAATTTGATGTCATCGTATTCACGCGGATAGAAGCGGCGTTTTTTTTTTCTTCATTTTTAAAAGCTGAAAAACTTGGTGCTGATGAAATATGCGTCTTTATCAGGAAATTTTCCTTTTCGAGGTCCAAACAACGATTCCGCAATTGTTTCCTTTAGTTCTTTTGGTATTTAAGTTGAAAATACTGTGAAACCCCAAGATGCGGACGTAATTGGTGCATCAAGAGTGTCCCTAAGTCGAGTCTCATTTTCCCTTAGACTTACATTATATAATTTTTATAGAGAAGGAAGTCCCTTTATGCTGGAGGTAATTTTTTTTAATTGGCTAAATGGATGGTAAATTGGTGAGAGAAATGCCCAAAAACTTGTCTTACATCTATTTTAGGGTTGGAAATATTTGTTTCTTGTAATTTGGTCTGAAATGTATTTGCAATTTTATCACAAAATGTCCCTATGTTGAGTCAGTGTCCTTATGTTGGGCCTTTTTTATTATTTTTTTATGGGAAAATAAGTGTCCCTATGTTGAATTGTCCTCATGTGGGGTCTCACTGTAACTGGACTTGAAGATGCATAAGTCATTGACTGAAGGGGAAGAGTGAGGTTTGTTTGACACCATTTTTTTTCTCCTTTTTTGGCAAAAACTTACATTTGTTTAGAAATTTTAGGTGCATAGAAAGTAAGAACACCGGGAAAGTAAGTGGGTACTTTTATTTGCCAATCAGTGGCATTGCAATTTTTTGCATGAAAAAAAAATGTGGTGTATGGTGCTGATATTCGTGTGAATGCGGTAATTTTGAAATAATTTTCATCGTGAGTCTTCTTGTGGAAAGTTTGAAGGAAAAAACATTATTTTCGTTGCAGATATTCAAGAAGCTGGGCAAGGAGAACATGTCCCTCATGTACATCTCCTGGGCGGTTGATCTAGATCCGAAAGTGGGCAAGGCGCCGTGGAAAGACCGAGCGACTGGCTCTGTGACCGCCTCAGCAGCCGGAGTCACGGGATCCGCCGTCAATAACGTCGTTGCTGGCAACGGCGGCGCCGGTGCCGCCATTTCGCCACCAGGCTCTTCCCCGCCATCGGGAGGCGGCGTCAATGGTGGTGGTGGTAGCAGTGTGGGTGGTGGTGGTGGAATGGGAGGAGTAGGAGGCAGCATCAGTCTTTTCAATGCTGACGAGCACGAGAACTCCGCTGCTGGGGCGTCGGGATTTGAGGACCTTCCCAGTCACGATGTGGCGGAGTCGCCGTTGTCGCCAGTGTGATCCAGTTGCTGTTTTTTTTTTCTCACTAAATAATTTTTTTGGGTTTTGTTTTATTCCTTGAAATTGTGTTTTTTTTATAAATTCATGATCATAATTATTCGCTCCCTCTTGCTTTCCGGTTGCATTTTTATTGTTTTTTTTTTTGGAGCTGGAACCCCCTCTGGAATGAGCAGTCCAGCGTGTGACGACCCGTTTTTTTTTTTTTCTTCTTTCTTCCTCCTTAAATTCTTGTTGCGGTGATTCACGAGGCATAACGGGAAAGGAATTTTCTGGAAAGGTTTCGCAAGTTTTTGCTGCTCCACATCGTCTACACTGATTATTTAGGAGTTACCGGGACTTTGAAGAAACGAGGGAGATCGAGGTTTTTTGTCATTATGTATCAGATGATCTTTCCGGTGGATGAAAGAATGCCGTATTTCATAAGTGTCAGTTTATAAATTAAGAGTCTTGTGTTTTATCCATTTAAATTGCCGTGGGTAGAAGATGGAATATCCTCTATGAGAATTAAATTTCAGTTAAACCTCGATAAGTCGCCACCATTTTGCGTGAGGTCTGTGGCGGTTTATAGGCTGATGGTACATTTAAAAAAAAGCCGAATAATGTGTAAATTAATATAACAGGAAATAAAATTCTCATTTTCTTCTAGAAAGCAATGAAATTAACCCTGGGATGCGTAAATTATATCTAGCCAGTATGTCATCTTTGTTTTTTGTGTTTTTTCTCCACTGAAAACCTCTGACAGAAACTTGATTCTTGTTTGCGGGGTTTTTGAAGACAAAATTAATTGGCTGGAGCATATTTTAGTGGTCATTAACGAGGCGGATGGTGTTTTAACGGGGTTCCAATGCGTTTGTCATTGGGGAAGATTATTATTTTTTTTTTCAAAATAAATAGGCGGTTGACGTTATGAAAGGATTTCACTGTAGGTATCACCCCCTCTTAGTTAGAGAGATGTAGGAATTTCATTGAAGTGATTTTTTTTTCTTTGCTTGTGATGACCTTGTTTCCGAATTTATTATGAAGATGTGTAACCATTGACTGACCTGACATTCGATTGAACGTGTTCGAATTTAGATTGAATTTTTTGAGAAATTGAGCAGATTGCGTACGTGCAAATTTTCAGTTTAGGTCCTATATTTCCATCGGATTTCAATCAACTTGGAACTTTGCAAAAAATTTATTTCAAATCATTCTTGCTTCTTTTTTTTTTTGCTAGTTGAATGACATTTTTCGTGTAGGACCTTATCGTCTGTGCTTTTCGATTATCCGATCGTAGAATGATGAAAACTAGTGACAAAAATGAAAATCTTCATAAACATAAAATATCTTAGGTAATTATATATTTTTCAAGGTCAAACATTTTGGAACACGCGCGAGGTGATAGGATATGTTGAACTAGGAAAAGAGGAACACGATTTGCGAGAAATTTTGTTTCAACTGTAGTACAAAACTTATCTTTTTTTTCCGAGTGTAAATGTGGAGTATGCATTAACTTACGATCCATCAATCTCCGTTCCTTTCATCCGGTATTTTCTCGTGAGAAACGCTTCTGATATTTTGAAAAATAGCGACCGGGTTGCTGATATCGGAGCACGAAAAGTTTTGTGTTCGTCTTTTTTTTTTTTTTGTTTTCAGCTTTCAAAAAAAAAAACACAACGATGTGTATTAGTGGGAAGTTTGGTGCGATGATCCTGATTTCGACTTGGAAGACAAAATTGGACACAGGCGGGATTTCAATTATTTAATTTGTATTCCTATTGTATTTTTTTTCATGATTGCTGGTTAACGGCTTGAATTCGACTTCCGTGGAGCTTTCAGAAAAGAAAAAAAATGAAAATTGGGCAAAGAATGGATTGGTTTCAGTCCTCGAAATTGTTTCCGAAAATAACTTTTTTTTTCATATGTATCAAGAGAAAAATTTTGGAGAAATATTATTTTCATCCTCCCGAAACTTTTTTTTTCTGTTTTTGTTTTCGGAAGTGATATTGAGCGGAAAGACTCTTTGTTGTTGCTGCTGCTGCTGCTTCAAGGGGAGTGGAATTGCAAGTGCTGCTAGTCGACATCGACCCCACTTTTTTTTTGGCCCTTTATTCTCAACGAATCTCTTTTTGGTCTGATTTCGCTTTTAATTTTCTCCCCACCACCACCACCACGAGATTAACGACCCCCAAAAAATAAATGGAGACAATGTTTCATCCGTGTGCGTGTGTGTTTATGCATGTGTTTTGTCAGCATCATTGAGACGAAAAAATTATGAAGGGGAAAACAAGTCGAATGTGTGTGAAGGGTTTTTTTTTCTTGGTGAAATTTAAGACTAGGAATTTCTTGGAAGCCTTGCGAGTCACTTACAAATTGTGGTTTTTTTTTTAAATGAAGACGTGCCTTTTTCGATTTTTGTTGATTCGTTTGTAAATGATATATCACCCCATAACATCAAAAATGAATATTTCGAATCATTTTCTTGCGTCGGGAGAATTTTGTGCGCCTGTGTTCATTTGTTTTGGGAGACTTTCTGGGTGGTCTGTCAGACACGCAAACAATAAAAAAAATGTTTAAATTAAACCATGGTAGAGAATTATGTCTCCCTGATTTTTCTATTGACAGTGCAAAAAATAAATGAAAATATGCTTAGAGTCAGTGCGGTTTTTCAAGAAGGCTGCCAAAAAACCAGAAGTAACAGTTGTATGCTAAGTCTGGGAAAAATGCCAGCTTACATTTGAGATGATTGTCTCTTTTAAAAAAAACTGAATCAAGGAAATTTTTCAAAGGTCTCACTTGTTGTTTCATTCTGTATCTCTGCTTCATCTGTGTGATGGGGAATAGTAAAAAAAAATTCTAAATTTGCTGAAATGGGAGAAATTTGTCTGTGACTTGCAAAACTTCTGAGAAATGTGCTTTAGATGTGATGATGGTATACATATATGTGTATATATATATATATATATATATAAATTGTATTTTTACAGGAGTGTAGGGCAGTGATAGAGGCAGTATTGTGAGTTGCTTTGATGTGATCGTGACAGCAAAGGTGCCCCCATTGATGCTGGTGGCGAGGCAACAAAAACCATGTGGACTGTGATGTGCAACAAGTGCAATCAATTCTGAGCTCTGGGCAGCTACATTTGCAATTTTTTTTCTCATTGAACACACGCTGAAATTGATCTGTTTTCATTTTTTGGATTGTTCAACTGCTCATTTGAATGGCGTGGAAGGTACTTTGATTATTCTTTTTCCTTGTGAAATTGCTGTTCTTACTGTATTTATTCAAGTGCCTTGCGCATCTTGTTTTTTGAAATTCAAGAGGAAAAATTGAATGTTTGCGTCCTGGGCAGGTTCACATTTGTCAAAAAAAAAGTTTTCAAGAATTTAGATGTGCATTATACCTGATTCTGATTTGAAATTTTGGACCAAGATTGAATTTTAGGCTAAAAAATTCAATTTTGGTCCAAAATTTCAAACGAATCTGCTCCGTGTTAAATTCTATAGAAATCCTCAATGAGACGCCATCTGCCAGTATTAGTGATGAAACAGAAGTGCTATTTCCTGTTGGTTTTGTCTTGGTTACAACGCCAAAATTGTTTTTGGAATTGTAATTTCTGTCAAGGATCTTGCATTTGTAAAAAGAAAAAAATAATCTTTTTTTTAATTTTAACAATAAATTGACCTAATTTTGAAATTTGAATAAATTGATGCAGCAAAATGATTTTTCTGAAAGAGTAATCCATTGATCGCAGGAATACTCTTTGGAAAATTACTGAAGTTTCTAGAAAACCTGTATTTCTATGACTTTTGGAGTAAAATTGAGTATTTTTGATCAAATAATTTAAAATGAAATATTCAATGAACCGCCAACCCCTTTAAACTGCCAAAATTGCTCTGGACAAATGGTGGCGTCTCATCAGGGTTTGACTTGTACTTGAGTAAATGCAGTACAGTACAGTACTTTTTTCCTGACTTTTGCAACTTGAGCTTCAATCCTCCTGTATGCAATCCCCTTTTCTTCTGCAGTATTCGTGTGTTTCAAGTGCAGAATGATCTAGAAATACAACCAATATTAATTTTTTTTTCATTTTCAAATTTGGCAGGTTATGCAAGACTTGAGTTCTGCACTGAAGAGGTACCAGCAACGGATTGGCGCGTATGATCAGCATGACTGGGAACGGAATGTGGAACAAAAGCTGCTGGAGGGACTGGGCGGGCCTGTGCCCAAGAAGACTGTCAAGTTATTGCCCGAACTCATTGACGTGGATATCATTCGAGGTCTGCTTGCTAAATTCATCCGTGGATGCATACGCAAAATTTTTTTTTTTTAGATTTTTATCGCATGTTCTTGTCAATTTATTCTGCTTGAAAGTCGCTGAGGCGAGCGATGAATTGTTCAAATTTTATTCAAAAAATTTGACCCATCAGCTCAGAACAATTTTTGAAGGAAATTTGCTGTTTGAAAAAAATAGGAATAACTTAGGAAGTTTTTTCCCCCAAGATTTTTGTAACATCTGGTGTCAAGTTTTCCGCTTAAAAATGGTTGAGATAGGCTAAAAAAGAGTTTAAATTTCATGAAAACTAATGAAAGTTTAAATTTGTCGGTTTGTGGTTTTCAAGTGGCTTCACAAATATTATTTCGAATGTTGAGAAAGAAAAATGTAATGCGATTCCATAACCAATGGAGTCTGAATTTTTATAAATTCAACTTCACATTATTCATACTTTTTCTTCGATACTGTGAATGAATTTTTGCGAATGTTTTCCAGATGAAAGTTTTTAAAACGACAAATTCTATATTAATGTATGTGTACGGCAAAAATTTGAAAGAAACGAAGATTAAAGTGTGCATTGAAGTGAAGAATCACTTGAGTCTAAATTCGGCTTTGTCACCTTGTATATTTAGATAAATGTGTAGAACGTTTGGCACGGATTTTTATTTTGTTTCCCTTGTTTACAGTATTAAAGCAGGCAAAAGTAGCTTTTCCACGGAATTCTTAGTCCATCGATTCTGTGTTTAAAAGTGAGAAAGCCTGCAAAAAATAATTTGAACCCCCAAATGCATTGTTTTTAAACTGCATTTTATTGTAATTAATAAGACAGATTATGTTGGATTTTTTTTTACAAATGTTGTGTCTTGTAAAAGAGCAGAGCTATTTTTGAAATTTCTTTGAGTTTGACTTTTTATATAAAAAATCACGAATATTCCTGGGAAATCGGTTCCCACTTTATTTATTAAATTTTCAAAAAAAGGAAAGTGCCGTGCAACAACAAAAATAATTTGTCAACAATGTGAATGTAGAAATGGAAAATTATCCTGAGTTTTTGTGTGGGCCTGAATCTGTGATGTCCTTTTTTTTTTTTAAAGGCCTCAATTTCTTTCGTTTTGTCCCGTTTTTCATCCCGGAGAGGTAATTTTTTTTTCTTTTTTTTTTAAGCTCTGAGTGAGTTGGGGTCAAGTTAAATTTGTGTCACTGTGCGAGGGGGTGGCTCTGAATCGAGGTTTCGACTGTATTTATCGATTTATTTATTTTCTCAAAAGGGTCTTCATTCGGAAGAGCGAAACCCCTGCTGGGATTCGTGGGCGTGACGTGGGTCGGGCTGAAGGCGGCCGTGTTCTTCCCGCTCTGGTGGGCCTGGTGGCGGAAGCACCTGGACAACACCCTGGTGAAGCTCATGTGCATCGCGTATTGCCTGCAAATCGGCGTCACTGCCCACTACTTGGGCCACCGACACTCGGACGTGGAGGCCGTGCTGACGTGCACGGAAGTCGGGTCGTGTTTCATCGCCGTGCTGGCCCTCAGCGTCCTGCATGCCCACATGACCTCTACCCTCAAGTGAGCGCACATTGTGAAAGTGAGAAGCGAGCAAAACAACGACCAAAAAAAGGATGCATTGTGATAGCTTGACATTTTTAATAGCTGGGAAAATCCGGTGGCCATTAATTTTTTTTGTTTTTATTCAAGAAAAAAATGAAATTGACGCCGAAAATGATGGAGATAAATAATATTTTTCGATTGACAATTTTTTTTCTCTTTCTGGGACGGATATGTAAAATGTGATGCAATTTTTAGTGATGAATTTTCAGAAGCTAGAAAAATGTAGCGTTGATATTTTTGAATGAATGAACAGAACACTTTATTTGCCGCTTTTCAGCGTTCACAAGGTTCAATCAAGATTTCCGCAACGACGTTTCCAAAGCTCAAAAAATCCAGCATTTGACATTTGAAAAACAAAATTTTAAACTTCGGAGACGAATGAATTTATTGTTCTTTTAATTGGCATTTATTGATTGAAAGGTTTTTCTCTTTCCAGGGCGAGCATTTAAAATGCATGTAAAACGCGAGGGTATTTGATACGTTTTAAAATCGGGAAAAATTCAACGTTGATATTTTAAAAATAATAATGAACGTCGAAAGAAGAATGAATGTATTCATTTTTTCAATTGATGGGGGTTTAATTTTTTCTAGGTCGAATCTTATGGTTACGACGTTTCAGAATCCAAAAATAAAAGGTGTTGATACTTTTCAAAGAAAATATAAATGTGAGGGAAAAACCAGTTGATTTAATTTTTAATTGTCGATTTTTTTTCTTTTGATACGTTTCAAAAATTGGAAAAATGCACAGTTTTATAATTCTTGTACAGAAAAAAATGAAGGCCAAAGATGAATTAATTGATTAATTTTTTTATCAACAACTTGTTTTCTTGCAATGACAGATATTAATTTGAAATGTGACGAGACTTTAGGTCGTGACGTTTTAGAAGCTGGAAAAATGCAGCGTAACTCTTTTTTTTCAAAGAAAAATAAATAAATGCCGAGTATGAATAAATTGATTCCTTTTTTTTTAATCAACAAATTTTTGTCTTTCCAAGGCCGGCTGTTGTGCGGGATGCTCGAGCAGGAAGCTTTTCGCAGTCGTCTCGGGGCTCCTCGGAGGCCACAGACGGAGGATGTGGCGGTGGTGGCAAGACGTCTCAACCGCCACCGCCGCCGCCTCTGGCGCCCAGATGGCGGCGTGCCATCTCTGAAGACCCGGGTTGTTGTCGGACCGAGTCTCCGCGTCTGGCGTCCGTGCTCGCTGCCAACAAAAAATTCAAGCCTAAGGTTTAAAAATGTTTCATTCACTTCAAGCTGTTGGGGGTTTTTTTTTTTTTACTTTTTCGAATAAAAGTCGGGCAATGACATAACATTTAAAAATTACTGTCATATGTGGGCATGAAAGGGTTATTCTGTTGTTTGTTCTGGTTTTCCCCCGTTTTCGACGTTTTTCTCTTTTACTCAGTGAAAATTGCATTTCAGTCTTCGGTGGGATTTTCAGATTTCAGTTCTTTTCTTTTTTACTAATGTTTGAAAATGCGTCAAATATTTTGGGCATACAGTGAGACCCCCGGATGCGGACATAATTGTTACATCAAGAGTGTCCCTAAGTTGAGTCTTGTTTTCCCGTAGACTTACATTATATAATTTTTAATTGGTGTTTTACAGAAGAAATATTCTTCAGAATTCCATGAAAAAAACATTTTTTGCCACTTGTATTTGATTCAGTGAATATATTTTCTACCCAACAAGAACATTTGGAGCATTGAATAGTATACTGCTGTAAAGTTCATTGAAATGTTTGCATCTGTAAAAATAGCATCCAAGTCACAAAAAGAGAAGAAAGTCCCTCTGTGCTGTAGGTAATTTTTTTTAATTAGCTGAATGGATGGGAAAGTGATGAGAAAAGTGCCAACGAATTTTTCTTGCATAGATCTTAGGGTTGGAAATATCTGTTTCTTGAAATTAAGCATAATAATAGTCAATTTTCCTAAAATTTATTGGCAATTTCATCATGCAATGTCCTCATGTCAAGTCAGTGTCCATATGTTGGGCCTTTTTTATGATTTTTTATTGAAAAATAAATGTCCCTGTGTCGAGGTGTCCGCATGTGGGGGTCTCACTGTATTCTGTTAACATAACTAGCCTATGAGGCGCCAGGTTCTTCGTGATTGGAACTGGTTTTTTTGGCGCCAGAATGGGAATGAAACGCGAAGTTTTCTATATGCAGTAGTACCTTGAGCAACAAACATAATTTCGTTCCAGTGAATGTTTCGTTGCTCAAGGTGTTTTTCATGTATGTAATTCAAAATTTCACGTAGTATATTCTGGGAAATTTTTTCATTGGCTCTGAAGTAAAACAAAAATTATAAAGTTTGGCATGAAGAAAATTAGTATGAAAATTCAAAAAGAGGCAAGGGAAACATTTTAGTTACTAATAAGTTTTCATTGAAAATTAATGAAAGCACGCAAAATTGGAAGAACGAAGTACAGTACTGTGAAGTCAAATTCCCTGATGATTTTGAATTTCCCTTTGAAATCAATTTTATTGCGATTTTTCCCATTTACTGTATAAACATGACAAATTTTCTTACATTTTAGTGTTATTGAAGAACAAAAGGTTTTCATGATTGATTTATTTTTTTTTACTTGAGGATGTCCGTTCCTTGAGGCAAAATGGCGTCAGAACCCGTTGTTCCTTGAGTAAAATGTCAGCTGTTTGAGGGCATTCGTTGCTCAAGGGCCCTATGGAATTTCAGAAGATTCCGTTTTGACTGTTTTCTTTTCTTTTTTTCTCGTTTGTGTTTTTTCAGGGCATGCGACGGGTGCGGAGAAAGAGCTGCGGGACAATGACGTCCACCGAGGAGAAGAATTCGTCTGGGGAAAGCAGCGAGTGTCAGACCACCGCCAGTGGCCTGCCGGGAAAGACGGACGCTTCGGACGACGTTGACTACTGGTCCGGGGCGACTACCAACAGCGAAGAAGACTGTTGCAATTACACGAGCACGGAGCTGGATGATGACGGAGACGCGGATGGGAGCGGAGCCGGCGCCGTTGGTGGCGGCGGCGGCGGTGTTGGTGGGCCTGCTGCGGCTGGTCCTCGTGTTCCTGGCGGGGGCGGCGTTGTTGGTGGTGGTGGTGGTGGTCGTCGAGACCCGTTATTTTTCCACGACTCGCTTCTTTTCCCGTTTGACTGCGGAGGAGCCGGCGGCGGACTGGTGCGTTACTATAAATGAAAAATTTGAAAAAGTCCATATTGTGTTGAAATATATTGATTGAATCAGTTTAAATTGGGAGACCATTTTTTTTTCTTGAATTATGGTGTGTATTTTGTACATGAAACACCAATTGAAAATCATAAAATGTAAGTCTAAGGGAAAATGAGACTTGACTCAGTGACACTCTTGATGCACCAATTTAATCCGCATCTTGGGGTCTCACTGTACATTGAAATGAAAAGATTCTTTCGATTGTATTTATGCTTCAGTTATAAGCTTAAATTTTGTCACGCACTTTGGGATTTCCAACCGGTTTTCTGAATCTGAAAATGCTAGTCAGGATTTATTAAATTTAACTGTATGATTGAAGTCAAACAAAAGCGTGGCCAGAAGGAATCATGTGCTCGAACCTGTGAAACAGAAAAAAAACCCATTTTATATTACTGTACAATGATTTTGTTGTTGCTTTTGAAAAAGTGAGTTATGTGTTTGAGTTAATCCGGTATTTTTTGTTTTGTTTGCGAAGCATTCTGCGAGTTGGATTCCGCCGGGGCAGAAAACCGACAAAGGTTAGTTTTTCTTTTGTTTTTTTTGGCACGGAAAACAAAATGTAATGAATAATTTGGGTTCTTTGAAGCCAAAAAAAATCTGGCCTGAACCAAAAATTCAGTGCGAACGTGAATGCGATAGGTTTTTGCAGACTTGAACGTCTTTATTCATTAGAAATTTTGCGCAATGTCTCTTGTCTTCATAATTAAAGTGTACTGATTTTATTTATTCAAATGCCGGAAGGGTGCTTGAAAAAGAAAAACAGGATTTGAAATATAATTTCAACAAATTCATTTTGAGTATTTAGTTGGAATAAAAGAGCAAAAATTCGAGGATTCGAGGAAAACGACGTTCAACTGATCGAGAATCCACAAAAAACAATTTTTTCCCTTTTCGATTAGGTAAAAGTGATGAAATTTTGGAAGTTTAGATTAGATAGATTTTTTTTTTAGATAATTTTACCAGTGAAAACTGTTGAAAGTTTTGAGTAGATCCTAGGAAAAACTTATTCTACGATTCATGTTTCGATTTGGCGTGTCTTTGTTTTCAAATTCCTTTGAAACATTTTTTGACTGTTTGTTTTGTTTTTTCAGTGAGTTGCATGATATGGGGTGGATCAAGTTTGGAGGCCCACAAGGCGGACCTGAGCGTGTTGGACATTTCTTCAGCCATCGTCCGAAAAGTGGAGTTCAGTTCAGCTTGGGATTCCTCTGATTACCTGTGGATTGGTACGCTTATTTTTTTATAACGAAGAAAGGAAAAAAGAAAACATCGATGAATTGATTAATTTGTGGTGCTTTCGTATCTAATCCCGAACGTCGTCGTTTTTAAATGCGTTGAAGATTTCGAAACATCATTTTAAGATTTTTTTATTAAACCTGTGCGAAATATAAATACAGTGATTGGAATTTTTCGTTGTTTTCGACGGAAATTCCGAAAATCGAATTCATTGTGAAAGGCCAGCTTTTCCGAGGTTTCGAGAATTTCACTTGATTATTTTTATCTCAACTGACGACATTGGCGCAAATTCTGAACAGCTTCGATTCGAATTTTTTAAAATAATTATTCGTCTTACCTTTCAAATCACGATGCGAAAAAAAACAGTAATTGAAGTAGAATTTGAAGAAGTTCTTTTTGAGTTCCAAAGAAATTGCAAGAAATATTCCGCAGTTCCGTGATTGAGTAAGTTCATTCTTCGAGTGATATTGAGCTAAATGCAGTAAATGATTCCTCGGGAATTTTTATGAATTCCGGAATAAATGGCAACATAAATGTTCGTTTGTCGCAGAATATTGAAATATTTTTGATTGAGTACCGGTACTCGAAAAACGGTGCTTGAAAGTACCGTATTATGAAAATGGAAACGTCTTCATCAACGAGAAAAATAAAACTATGTAGTTACTTTTCCCGATGGAAATTACTTTTAAATTTTCATGAATTCTGAAAAATTTTCTCAAGGCGAAGTCCTGGGAAAATTGCATGAATTTTGAAATGAAGTGTGAAATAAATGTTTGTTTGACGTGAAACATGAAAAATAAAAGTTGGCAAGAAAATATGCGGAAAGCTAGGCTTGACACAATAAAGAATTTCTCGGAAATTTTTATGAATTCTGAAATAAATATTTGTTTAACGGTGAGGTATTAAACATTTTAAGACTATTATTTATTATTATTTACTATTATCTATTTATTATTATTTTATTATTTTGAAGACTTTACTTCGAAAACGATTTTTTACTCGACCAAAAATATGAGTGCGCTCGCTTCAATTAGAAATTGAAAGAATTAGTCAAATTTCTTCGCTAACAAATGCCTTGGAAAATGTTTCCCATCTGAAATTTCAATGATTTTCGCATGGTTTTTTTTTTTTGGTTTTTCTCGTTTCGTTCCAGGTGTGATGTTTTCCTGTGTATTGGCATTGATCCCGGCTGCAGTTCGGGTCGCTGGGGCCGGTTTAAGCATGACGGACGTGCACCTGGACCAACTCTGGCCCGGGCTAGACCGGTTTGCCGACTTGCGTTTCATTGCCTCGTCTTCTTCTTTGGTCGGGTGCGTGGGTTCCGTCCTTTTTGCCATTGGCACGGGGTTCTTTTCTTCCTCGAAACCCGTCAACAATTATTGTTTTTCTGGACCCTATTATCTTATGTTTAAGGCGTGAAAATGAAAGAAGAAAAAAATTGCACTGTTTTGAGAAAAGTCCATGATCCCAGAGTGTTCCTCCTTTTTGTCCATCATCACTGTCAAGTGAGTTTTCCCCCATCAAGATAGTTTTTGTCTCAATTTTTCCCTGTCTAGAATTGGCCCTGTCTCAAACTTTCTGTCTCCATTGGTCAATATCCCTGAAAAAGGTTCAACTGTATGACAACGGTTATTTTTCTGAATCTTGTTTATTGGAAAAAAAAGTGACGAGTGTCAAACGTGATTTTTGCGTTCGAAAAAAAAACTCAAATCTCTGGTACTCCGGAAATTTCCTGCAAAACAAATTGCAGAGGATTGGCACAAAATTTATTTTTTATTTTTTTCTTATTACAGGTCTTGGGCGCTGGCAAATAGTCCCGTAGTGATGTTGATGTGCTTGAGGTTCATCTTGGCGTTTCTCACCTTCTTCCTGTTGTCCGTGGCCGAGAGAACCTTTAAAAGGGTAAAACGGGAAATTAATTTTTTATCGATTAATTCATTTAATTTTTTTTCAGTTTCAATTGCATCAAGGTTTCTTTCTTCTTTTTTTTTCTTTTTAGAGATACATGTTGGCGAAGATGTTTCATTGCTTGACTTCGGCGAGGCGAGCGAAACGCTGGGATCTGCCTCATTTCAGACTCAGCAAAGTGCGCAATATCAAGACCTGGTTGTCTGTGAGGTCTTACTTGAAGGTTTGTTACGGATGCGACATCTAGTTGCAGGAATTGAAATTGTCCACGTTTACCCCTTTCTTGCAGTACAGTACTGTATAGTAATTTGAAATGCAGTGGGTCGCTTCATAACGTACCTTTCGTTATGTGGAACTTTTGTAATGCGTAGCGCGTTTTTCGTTGAGGTTAAATTTTCAAATTCGAGGATTCTTTTCAGGAATTCACCTGAAGACTGTGATAAGAATTGATAACAGGATTTTATTTTTAGTTTTCAGCTTGAATCCGTGATTTTAAATTTGATTTCAAATTTGGAGAAATTAATTTTTTTTACGCCCTATCATAGCATCAAGTTCTTCTAGTTCCTTGTACTGAGACTTTTCTTTAAATTTGGAACGAATAAATTTTTTACGTCCAATTAACGCGTAACATTTTTCTAATTCCTTGTAGTGAGACATTTATTTCAATTTGGAGAAATTAATTTTTTTCGCCGAATTTTAACAAGCTTTCCCAGTTCCTTGTACTGAGACTTTTCTTTGAATTTGAAAAAAATAAATTTGGTTATGCCCAATTAACGCGTTAAATTTTTTATTTCCTTGTAGTGAGACATCTCTTTAAATTAAAAATAAATATTTCACGCCCAATCATAAGTGAAATTTTTTGTAGTTCCTTGTACTGAGACTTTTCTTCAATTTTGGATAATTTTTTTTACGCCCAAGGAACGCGTTGCATTTTTCTAGTTCTTCGTAGTGACACATTTATTTACATTTAGGGAAATTAAACTTTTTACGCCTAATTATAGCATCTAGTTCATTGTACTGAGTCTTTTCTTTAAATTTGGGAAAAATTAATTTTGGTTACGCCCGATTATCGCGTTAAATTATTTAGTTCCTGTAGTGGGACATTTCTTTAAATTCGACACCATTTTTTAACGATTAATTGACGCGTCGAAGAACATTTGAAAGATGGAGTTTTTCTTCGTTCATGATTCATTTTAGAGGCACGGGCCACAGCGGTCAGTGGATGTGATTGTGTCGGCGGCATTTGTGGCGACCTTGGCCCTGATGACCGGCATTTGCGTGGACATGCTGCGAGCGCAGTCGGAGAAGCCATCGTCGTCGTCGTCGATTGACGAGAACGAGGACGATCACGGCGGCGGCGGCAGTAGTGAAGAAGAAGCCATGTCTTCGTTGCTGCTTTTGCCGGCCGCCTCTGTGTCGGCGTACACGGACGCCGTTGTGATGTGTCTCGCCTTCGCCGTTTTCCTGCTCCGGTTCATGACGCTGGGCGTGAAAATCAATTCCAAGTACCGCGACATTTCCGTGCTCATCACGGAGCAGATCAATTTGTACCTGCGCATGGAGCAGAAGCCGCACAAGAAGGACCAGTTGATTTTGGCCAATAATGTGCTCAAGCTGGCTGCGGATCTGATTAAGGTGTGTGTTTTACTTGGAGGGGGGGGGGGGCCACGTCATCTGCAGACGTGAAAGTCCGTCTCGGTTGACGGACTTTTTGATTAATCCACAAATGGGAGATGTTTGTTGACTGAGTGTGAAATAGAAGGAAAGTGAGACCCCTAGATGCAGACGTAATTGGTGCATCAAGAGTTCCCCCAAGTCGAGTCTCATTTTCCCTTTGACTTGCATTATATAACTTTTAATTGGTGTTTTATGAACAAAATACTCACCCTAATTCCATGAAAATAAAAATTTTTTCCCAATTTAAACTGATTCAATCAATATATTTCAACACAATACAAACATTTGGGGAATTGAATACTGATACCTTTGTACAGTACATAGAAATGTTGGCATTCTCTGTTAAAAAAAATAACATTCAAGTGAAAAAGAGCAAAGGAAGTCCCTCTATGCTGGAGGTAATTTTTTAAAATTAGCTAAATGGATGGTAACTTGGTGAGAGAAATGCCCAAGAACTTGTCTTACATCTATTTTAGGGTTTGAAATATCTGTTTCTTGTAATTTGGCTTGAAATGTGTTTGCAATTTTATCACAAAATGTCCTTATGTCTAGTCAGTGTCTTTTTTATTAAATTTGTATGGGAAAATGTGTGTCCCTATGTCAAATTGCTGCATGTCAAGGTGTCTGCCTGTGGGGGTCTCACTGTATTGTAAATTTGAGAACCTCCTTACATCAAATGGATTTGTTTATCAAGTCCCCTGTCTGCTGAATTCCCTTGGAGACAATGTACAAATGGGACTGCAAGATGTGGACTTAATTGGTGCTTGGACTTAAGCCCTATGTTGAAATGTCCGCATGTTGGATCTCATTTTTCCATAGACTTCAATATGCACTTACTTGATTGCTCTAACTGTTTTTTTAAAAATGAAAATACAATCCCCAAAAAACTGAATAAAATATTTTTCAACTTCAAGATGCAGACAAATAAATGTAAAAAAGAAATCACTGTAGAATGTGAATTTTTGGCATCACAAGGAGCTCAAGAAGCAAAGAGCAAGTCTGGCTGTACTGTGAACACCTGATGGGAAAAAAAACACAAAAAAGTGCAAAATTGCCCTGTTTTTGATTATGAATAAATTTGATAATACAATTAATTTTTTTCTATTCGTGAATGTGAATAGCTCAATTTTTTGAGAAATATGAGTTGTAGTTAATGGAGAAAATTTTTACCAACAAGTACTGAAGCAAAAAAAAATTAAGCATTTACTGGACCTTGATGGAAATGGTTATTTTGCAGGAGCTGGAGAGTCCCTTCAAGATCTCTGGGCTGTCTGCAAACCCAATTCTGTACAATGTGACCAAGATGGTGGTGCTGTCTGCTTTCTCTGCCGTGCTCACGGAAATGCTCGGTTTCAAGCTGAAGCTCTACAAGCTCAAGTTCAAGGCTTGAAAATCGTCCCCGCTATTTTATTTCATTTTTTGCCGACCCTCAAATTTTGCAAAAATGTTGGGGTGTCAACATTTTTTGGAAGAACCCGTGGCAAAAGTGTGATTCAACCGCAGGGGAAAAATGGACGAAGAAAAAGTGCGAACATGTGGTGCCATGTTCTTCTGTTGCCTCATCCACTGATCTGAGCTGGAGAAAAGAAAAGAAGAGGCATTTTTTGTTTGGTTTTTTTCAAATCACAAAAACACACTTGTGTAATGCATTTCATGAATGTTGAACGAAAGCATTGCTTTAAGCATTCATCAGTTCTTCTTTCTCTTCAAATGACGGCCCTTTTAAGAATATTCTTTAGAGCAAAAAATAAAAAAATAAATAACTAATCGCCTTTTCTTGTCCCCATGGAAACGAATGAGATGAGAAATTTTAATTATGTTCTGGGTTTGACGAAATTTTAAAGGTCGCCTCGATGAATTCCTTGTGCAGGTATTTTTTTTTTTTTTTTCATTGAAATCAAGGGGATTTGTTGAAAAATCAACCCTATCCAGAAAAATATTTCCTTCCATGTGATTTAATTTCTTTTGGAAGTTTTTCCTACTTTCGTAATTTATCGAGGAACAACGCGCCTCTTGAAGAAGAAAAACTTTTTTTCTTCATCCCGACGAGTTTTTTACTTTCTTGAATAAATTTTCCACCCTTGCAAATTTTTGAAGAGCGAAAAATTTTACTGTTTTTTCTTTCCTCGTGGCATCACACTGTCAATTTTGATTATTTGCGTGAAATTTTCTTTTTATTGCGTTTATTTTCATCATTCAAAGCTTTTTTGAGTGTAATGGTTGTTACTGTCAAATTGTGTAGCATTTGTTTGGTGTCGAAGTACCACCGGTGGTGTCAAAGATTTGACCTACGTGCTTCTTGGAGAACCGAAATTTCCTTTTGTTTTTTCTTTTCTCATAGATGTCATTGTGTGTCATTCGGCATTCTTTGGGAAACGTGGAGCAGGTGTTGATAAGTACAAGGATCGAATTTTGAGGTATTTGCGTTGGGCAGATAGTTTTTTTTATTTAGGAATTTTAGTTCCCTATAGACAATTAATCATTCCACTATTTGAAGATTATTCAAATTGATGAAGAATTGCGACTGTGTGTTGGCGACATATCCTTGGAAAAAAACTAAAATAGGAGTTTGAATATGGTAGAATAAACTAATACAAAGTTGAGAAATTTATTTTTCGGTACCCCGAAATTTCAAGTGTTGCGTGTTTCAGCGAAATTCATGTCCCACTTTCTTGTAATGTTTTTTGTTTTAATCCTTCGGCACGCGAACGTGTTTTTATTTGTTGGAGTAAAAAGTTGTTTTGTGCCTTGATGGGAAAAATGTTTGAAGCCGCGACAAGACAAACAAAACAAGAAAACATGTACCTCCAAAGTGGGTTTTTCTCCCCCAAAAGTTCCTGTCCTTTCATTCTCCCTCTTTAACCCCACCCACAGGGAAAAAAGGAAGAAAGTAAACCTTGGATCTCGATCAGAATCAGGTTGTTTCGAACCAAGCGAATATTTCGGGTGGTTTTGAGCCTAGTTATTTTCTGTTTTTTGTTTTTTTTTCGGGAGGACCTGTCCTGTGGTTGGTGCACCTGCTCGAGTCAGAAAATGGAGCAAAATGCGAATCTTTGTTGTCCATTTGAAGAAGTTGCCTTGTTTGCCAATTTTTTTCTTCTTCTGTGGAATTGTGCGGACGCAGTTTTGTTGTTCTGAGATGGACCTGACGATGTTTTTCTTTTTTTTATGAATTTAAAATGGAAGACGAAGGCTGGTCAATATTTTTACAATTTAATTTTTTACTTGATTGAGTTCATGCCGGCACACAAATTGTCTGACCGGAATTTTCAGCCATTTTAACTTTAAAATTTTCTACACTTGTCACATTGAAACATTGTCACTGGTGATTTATTATATATGATTTACAGTTGAATATTGATTTGACTTAACAAATTCTTGTTATCAAAAAATAATTTTTTCAAGTTCCTGGTCAATTTTCTGAAGGTTGTTTGATTTTTTGGCGTAACAAAGGAATCTCCCAGGTTCCAAGGGTGTCAATGTTATGAGATATTCCTGTATTTGAAAGTCGCAAAGAAATTTTCTACATTCTTGAACCAGTTGAAATTTTATGAGCATTTTCTGTTTGAAACATCAGTGTTTCCTTTTTCAAGTGTAGATGATGTAAAATGAGAGGTTGTGTTTTGGGTAGATATTATTTGGTTGATGATGCGAGCGACATCTACTTGGAAATGTGATTACTTCTTGTAACTTTTTCAAGATGTTTCACACTAAATGAAAATATTCTGATGGTCCTTCTCAATTGCAACTGCTGTTCCTTTACAATAATGATTTTATTACTTGTATGAAGATGTTGTGTTCTGTTCTTTTTTGTTTATTTGTCAAGATTTTTTTTTTAATATACAGGCTTTTTGTGTGTGACTTTGAGAAATGGTGGATGAAGGAACAAAGAAGACCTTAGGTGCTATTCCTTTGCTCAAGACCAGTGCTGGGCCACGGAATAAGGAGCAGTGGGTGCAGAGGCTGAAAGAAGAGTACACTAGTCTCATCAAGGTGTGTTCCATGTTTTTGTGAAACTGTATTCTTGAAAAACCTTTGCTGAATTTCAATTCCATTTTTGGTGTCCCAAGATTGAAATGTGAGAAAGAGAGAGAGATTTGAAAGTGCATCCCATGGTTATTAATTTTTACAAACCTTATGAAATAATTTTGAAGACTATCATATAATAGTGAATATTATAATTTAACTTGGCAAGAGTTAAAATATATTAACATTTTCCTTCAAATCAAGAAGAAATTTTGTGATTTTTTTTAATATAGTGGGACCCCAGAATGTGGACATAATTGTTACTTGTCCTTATGTTGGAATGTCTGCATGTTGCTCATAAACTCCAATGCAGACATATTTAAATGGTTCTCTTGTACATCAAAAATTATGAATAAGTTCCCAAAAATGATATAAAAATTGGTTTCCTCAACTTCAAGGTACAGAAAATAACTGTGCAAAAATCTGATGTTTTGGCATCAAGAAGAGCTCAAGAAGCAAAAGGACAAGTCTTGCCATACTATGTATAGATAATGGAAAAAACTTGTAAAAAAAGTAAGCGCAAAATTGGGCTGTGTTTTATTATGCATTTGAGTTAATTCATAATGAAATTCATTTTTTATTTCTGTGAGTGTAAATAGTTCAGTTAATTCAATGGATATCCAAATTTTGAAAACGAAATTTTTCAATTTTTAGACAGATGGAGGAAAAGTGTTTTTGAAACAAAGTCTGGATGTTGGAGCTTTTTTTTTTTAGTTTCAAGTGTCCCTAAGTTGAATTTTTTGTATGTTGGGGGTCCCACTGTAATGAAATGAACAAGATTTTTCTGAGTGTCTGGGAAGGATTACCAATTTTTTTTCTTCAAATTATATCTCAAAGGAAATCTTGTTTGACTGAACAAAACTCATTCTTCAACAGACTATAGTTTCAAATTGGAAATGTGTTCATGTTTCAACAAGAGTTTCTCTGGTCCTTGTGCATCAATTTATTTAAATAATTCTTCATTACAGTATGTAGAAAAGAATAAACAAGAGGACAATGACTGGTTCAGGTTGGAGTCCAACACAGAAGGCACCAGATGGTTTGGCAAGTGTTGGTTGGTCCATGAGCTCCTCAAGTATGAATTCGACGTGGAATTTGATGTGAGTCTGCAAAAATCTCATGTGCAAGTTTTTTTTTTCTTTTTTCAAAAATAAATGTCTTTTTTTCTTGCAGATACCAGTGACGTATCCAGCTACAGCCCCTGAAATTGCAATCCCTGAATTGGATGGGAAAACAGCAAAAATGTACCGCGGAGGAAAGATCTGTTTGTCTGACCATTTCAAGCCATTGTGGGGCAGGAATGTGCCAAAATTTGGCATTGCTCATGCCATGGCTTTAGGGGTAAGTTATCATCAGTGTTAGGAATGAATTAGTGATTTTGAAATAGGATGTGATTTTTATAAATAAATATAACAAGAGAATTTGGTTGGGCTACAACTGGGGTGAAACTTCACCCTATTTTAAAGTTGTTGTACTTCAAACACACAATATTTGCAAATATTCTCAAGTGACACGCATGAGAGATTAAACAGTAGTGAAGTTTTTTGATAGATTTGGAAATCAGGAAAACTGTCCTCCAAGGATGAAAAACAGCAACAGGATTTAGCAATGAAAAAATAGCCTTGGAGGCCTTCAGAAAATGAGTTTTCTGAGAATTTGGGTTCTTGGATTTTGCGCAACAAATTGTATTCTGCTGTTTATTTTTTGCAACAATCATCTCAGGTTATTAATATATCAGGGTTGGGATCATATTATTTTCAGGATTATTGAATAATTTTAATATATTGCAAAAATTGTGTAGTACAATTTTTGGACTGATTTCATTATGTGGGGATATTACTGTATGACAAATAAAAAGTTGAGTTTCTCATTAAATTCAATTTTCGCAGCTGGGTCCATGGTTGGCAGTGGAAATTCCGGACCTGATTCAAAGAGGCGTAGTCACATACAAGGAAAAATGCGGAGGCCCACCATCAGCAACATGAGTTATTGTTTTCTCCCTCTGTCTCTCAAATATGCCTCTGACGAAGGCGTTTGTTTCCATTTTTGGTTTATTTTTCTGTCTGCATTCATGGTTAAATCTTATTGGTGGCGGTGGAAAAAAAAAAAGAGTTTGTGTTATTGCTGCATTTCCGAATCTTTGAAAGAAAACAGAAGGAGAAAAAAAATCGTGTTTTACCAATGGAGGGAGACCTTTTTCCCGCCTTTCCTCGTGATTTTGAAAAATGTTTTTCCTCTGCGGATAGAATTTTATTTTTGGTTGAAGGATGATATCCTTAATTTGCTGTTGAACGACGTTGAATGAAGCTGGAACGGCAGTATTTCCGTCATCTAGCGTCTCTTTCTTTCAACGCGAGGTTCCGCTTTTGTATCATTCCAGTCTAGATGTCGCTCGACATGCTGTACATCAAGTCGAAATCCGTCAAGCCTTTGAGCCGGAAACACGGGAAGGCGGAGCTGAAGAGGAAATCGTTCTCAGTCAAATTTTATATATTCTTAGTTTGTTTTTTTCGATGATCCAGCGTTTGAAATGTGGAATTTCCTTTTTGATTAGACGAGGGGAGCATGGATCCTGTTCGTTTCGCCGAGGGGCCCCTTTTTTTTTGCGGTGGTGGCAGTTGGTGCTTCAGCATCCTTGTGGCACAACATGAGGACCAAAGACCTCGTGCGGATTTCCGTGATCGCCGTCTTGCACTTGTTGTTTTGCGTCTCACACGTGTGCTCGACAAAGAGTGAGTCTCGAGTCTTGACTGTTTTTTTTTTGGCAGAGAAAGATAATTGTAGAAATTAATGCTTCGTTGATATTTTCGCTAGAAATCTGTGGCCCCGAGATGCGGACGTAATTGATGCTTGGGAGTTGCTCCTTATGCTTGTCGATCGAAAGCGTCCGCATGTCGGATCACGTTTTCCCATATAGACTCAAGTCTAGTGCAAACATGTTTAATTGATTCTCCTGTTCATCAAAAAGTAGGTATGAATTTTTTTTTAATTTTTATAGAAAGTTGTTGGAAAATGTTGGAAAGGTTTCCTCATCTGAAGTCACTGTCTAAATGTCTGGATAGAATTGTTTTGAGTTTCACGTGTATTTAATTCGAATCGTCCGTATGTCGGGGTCTCTTTGATAAACTAAAATTATTATTCGGATTATTTCGGGAGGATTTCTGTGCAAGTTAATTTTCTATCACATGTTCATTCATTTTTAGGAAAGGTTTTATGGATTGGTTGATTAATCTGTAGTTATTCTTTCCACTCTTGACAATAAAACAATTCAGTGTACAATTTTTAAAATTTGGAAAGTTGTCAAATAATGTCAGGAAAAAAAATGAGTGACCAAAATGGCTCATGAGAGTTTTCTGATCCTATTTTTTTGATATTTTACACCGACTTGTCAAATGTTCTTTACAGGAAAACATTCAAAATTGATAAATAGATTGTCAAAGGACTTACATTTATTTTTAGATTTTGTTTTTTTTAATGAATTTCCACTGTCTTTTCATTTTTTTTTTTCTTTACAGAAAATAATTCAATTGAACTTAATTGTTGTCGAAATAATTTACAGTACCTTTCCAAATTTTCTTTCCTCTTTTTTTTTCAAATAATTGTTGTTCTCAGAAAACAATTAATTCAAAATTAATGAATCGATTTATTTTTAACATTTTCGTTTTGTTGATTTTTGAATGAATTTTCTTCGTTGAAATAACGCTCAGTACCTCGATTTAAATTATTTTCGAATTTTCTCCCAAAAAAATGTTTCTCTGTGATTAATTTTATTTTATTTTTTTCTCCGCAGAAAACAATGACTTGCTCTTGGGTCCAGCTCCAGCCAAGACCAACGCGACGCTCATCGGGCTCAAGAAGAATAACCAGAAGCGAGCCCCGGAAGGTCCCATAAAGCTCCAAGTCCTGGGCAAGCCCAAAAAGAACCCGAAACCCGGCCCAGAGCCCAAAAAGGACACCGTATCCAAGCGCCAAGCAGCAGAGGCGGAGAAGACGTCAACGGAACGCGTGTTTCGGGAATTCTCCGACATTGACGTGGATTTATGAATTATGAAGAAAGCATTATTTTTAAATAAATATTTGATCATTTTTCTTATTGCTGTTCAAACTGAAAATTCGCCTGCATCACTATAAGAAAATACCAGGGTATGCATTTCATAATTTTATTTTTGCAGTCTCAAAGAAATGAAATAACTCACAGAAAATATCTCCAATCTGACAACCCTGCACAACAATGAAAAGTTCTGAACTTGCCAAAAATGGTTTGCTTCAAGTGTGATTTTGTCATTGATGACAAGAGTAATTTCTGAGATTCTTCCTCAAGTTTGGGCACCCAAAATAACTTTATTCCAAGGCACTTGCAAAACATTTGAGCAATTACTTTTTTCTCAAAAGGTATTTTCACCAAATTTGATGCTGGTTTCTTGTTCAAGCTGACTTGGAGCGCCATCTATTGCCTTGTGTTACTGGAAATGATTGAATGTGTTTACTCCTTGCATGGAAAATTTTTCATCACTCTTGGCCTGAACATTTGCCTTAAATGAGCAAAAATTTTTTTCTTCAATTTACGTGTGTATAATTTTTGGGTTTTTGTTCCAGAGGGAAAGGCAGCTGCTGTGAAAAAGAAGACCCCTGTCTCCCAATCTGCACAGACAAGCCCTATGACAGCCTCCCACTCTGCACCCCAAGTGCAGCCCCATCAGAAGGAGCTGCAGGAGGAGGGACAAGTGGCCCAGGTGGCCCTGCAGCAGCAGGTGCCACTGCTGGCCCAGGAGCTTTTAGTGTATCTGGAAGTGGTGGTGGTGGTGGTGGTC